CTCCTGATAGCCTGATGACCTCTGTTAGCATAAAACGACCTGAAGCGGTCAGCAGATTTTCATAAAGGAAACCACTCACAAGGTTGCTGAAAACTCTTCGAATATCATAAACGAGAGAGTCAGTTGAGCCTCTCGTGAAAACCGAATTGATTTGAAAATGAGTGCATTTCTCGGTCAGCAGATTCTTATTTCGGGCTGTGCATCTGTGAGCCTCACAGTAGTGCCAGGTAACCAGTTCGGAATGAGGTGATCAGGAAACGGGTTTATAGTCAAGTAGATGGAAATTCACTCAATCAACGCATCCAGTTTTGCAAGCTAAGGTAACAAGGCCATGTGTCATGCACACCGGGTTACCGTCTACCTAGACGGGCGCTATTTACTATGCTGAATATCAGAAAGTGAGCATTTCTGACATGCCAGAAGGGAATGAACGATATTAAAACTCTTCGAATATCATAAACGAGAGAGTCAGTTGAGCCTCTCGTGAAAAACCGAATTGTTCGCAAATGAGTGCATTTCTCGGTCAGCAGATTCTTATTTCGGGCTGTGCATCTGTGAGCCTCACAGTAGTGCCAGGTAACCAGTTCGGAATGAGGTGATCAGGAAACGGGTTTATAGTCAAGTAGATGGAAATTCACTCAATCAACGCATCCAGTTTTGCAAGCTAAGGTAACAAGGCCATGTGTCATGCACACCGGGTTACCGTCTACCTAGACGGGCTCTATTTACCATGCGGAATATCTGAAAGTGAGCATTTCTGACATGCCAGAAGGGAATGAACGATATTACGCAATCTTTGGTTGCTATTGGCGTCGTTCGCCTTCAAGAGTGGGGACCACGTGACCCACTCTGGGCCCGGTTGGTGACACTGAACGATATAGCAGTTAATTGATATGAGTGGTGTTCATGTTGCCAGCTTTCAACCAGATAGTCTGACTGTGTACTGGAGGTGTAGGCAACTCTGGCGTTTGTGATAGACTAGCCCAGGTCCCCATTTCTTCCCAGTATAAGGCTTTGTCCAAACAAACAAATAACACAAATGAACGGCAGGAGGGCGCCAGTTTTCCCATCTGGTGTTACTGTAAATGAAGGTGATGAGGCCTGCTGTGCAACTTAGACCGCGTACGGCAAATTTCTGCTACTGGCACAATATCAGTAGCTTATGATATTACAAAAATCTGCTGCGGCCCTGGTCACGTGGCTGGACTGCTCATGCACCCAAACGAATCCTCAACTCTGTGACGTCAGCTCTCGACAAATAAACGATATTTGATATTGAAGTAATATTTAATTTAGGCAACTGCATCTTATCAAACATAAATACACTAAAACCCGGTTTATTATGAAGGCCTCGGATTATCTGAGATGTTTGTA